CTATATTATTTACACTTTAATATTTCTTAATTACTTACACTTTAATATTTCTTAATTACTTACACTTTAACCTTTGTTTATTATTTACAATTTAATCTTTCTGTATAACTTACACTTCAACCTTTCTTTATTACTTACACTTTAACCTTTCTATATTACTTACACTTCAACCTTTCTTTATTACTTACACTTTAACATTTCTTTATTACTTACACTTTAACCTTTCTTTATTATTTACAATTTAATCTTTCTATATTACTTAAACTTCAACCTTTCTTTATTACTTACACTTTAACCTTTCTTTATTACTTACACTTTAACCTTTCTTTATTATTTACAATTTAATCTTTCTGTATAAATAACACTTCAACCTTTCTTTATTACTTACCCTTTAACCTTTCTATATTACTTACCTTCAACATTACTTTATTACTTACACTTTAACCTTTCTTTATTATTTACACTTTAACATTTCTTTATTACTTACACTTTAACCTTTCTTTATTATTTACACTTTAACATTACTTTATTACTTACACTTTAACCTTTCTTTATTATTTACACTTTAACATTTCTTTATTACTTACACTTTAACCTTTCATTATTATTTACAATTCAATCTTTCTGTATAACTTACACTTCAACCTTTCTTTATTACTTACACTTTAATCTTTCTATATAACTTACACTTCAACCTTTCTTTATTACTTACACTTTAACCTTTCTATATTACTTACACTTCAACCTTTCTTTATTATTTACACTTTAACATTTCTTTATTACTTACACTTTAACCTTTCATTATTATTTACAATTCAATCTTTCTGTATAACTTACACTTCAACCTTTCTTTATTACTTACATTTTAACCTTTCTTTATTACTTACACTTTAACCTTTCTTTATTATTTACAATTTAATCTTTCTGTATAAATAACACTTCAACCTTTCTTTATTACTTACCCTTTAACCTTTCTATATTACTTACCTTCAACATTACTTTATTACTTACACTTTAACCTTTCTTTATTATTTACACTTTAACATTACTTTATTACTTACACTTTAACCTTTCTTTATTATTTACACTTTAACATTTCTTTATTACTTACACTTTAACCTTTCATTATTATTTACAATTCAATCTTTCTGTATAATGAATAGAAAATGTAACAACAACAAATTTGTCTCCTGTTCAAATCAGATCATTGTAGATGATTTATTGTTATGGGTTTGTTTTTCTAGGATACTGATAAAGATATAAGGTTTTCAGTATTAACTGATAGATCACAAGGTGGTAGTAGTATCAAAGATGGACAATTAGAAATTATGGTCAGTATTTATACTATTGATAGTAATTAAACAATTCTTTAATCCCAAAATATCAAGCTTCCCCCAAAAATTTCATTTCAAGATGAACTGCTATTTTTCATTGTATTATGATTTTTATTATGTATTTAATGATATGATATTAGGTTCATCGTAGATTATTACATGATGATGCTTTAGGAGTTGGTGAACCACTCAATGAAACTGGTTCTGATGGTAAAGGTCTTGTAGTAAGAGGTAAATCTTCTATATAATATCTTAACATACATTGATAGCTTTGATGATTTTATTACACTATATCAGATATTCACCTCAAGAACTAGCTAACCTACCAGTTACAATTTATATGATGCTATCAGACTTTGATTGATAAATTTCCATTTCTAGGTAGCCATTTTATATTCCTTGATACTATAAAAGAATCAGCAGCTGTACAAAGACCCTTTGCTGAAGAATTGTTTATGGCTCCACAATTATCCTTCACTAATGCCCAGATGAAATACAGTGACTGGAGTAAACAATATAGAACCATGGTAAGTAACAGATTCCTTTGTATTACAATTACCAAGTGTTATACTATTATATATATATTACATAATTATCAGAAATTTAATTGATGCAAATGTCTCTGGTGCACATATACAGTCCAGAAAAATTCTTCACATATGTTCATCTTATTCTTTTATTTTACCTTTACAAATGTCTATGACTATCATAAATATGTTATAATTTACAGTGGTCAGGAGTAAAGAAAACATTACCACCTAATATTCATTTATTAACATTAGAACAATTTGCTGGTACTGGACCTGTTCCTTCACAAGATCAGCCATTCTTACTACGACTAGAACATATGTTTGAGGTTGATGAAGATGTAGATTTATCCAAACCAGTTAATGTCACTTTACAGGTTGGTTATATACATTGTTTCATGGTGTACTTACAGACTCTTACATCTTCAGTTTATTTTCAGTTTTGAAAGAGGTTCATAATTTACATCAATTTCTTTGTCACATCATTTTGATGTCTTTAATTGATATTTTCAAATTGCAATTTAAAATTTAATACTTGTAGGTCCGAGAGCTATTTATTAAAGGAACCTTTCTTGTAATGTTTGTCTTAAGTTCAATGTGCAGATGTAACCAACTTTGCCTTGCATAATATATTAAAACCTCATTGCTACTTGATTACTATGTGATTTAAAGAAAATTACATATTAAATTGAAAATCTAAAAACCATTGCCTCAACACAATCACTAGGAATCTACTCTCATGATTACAAGCACAATTGTTTATAGAAGAATTGCATCTGTCATATGAATGCATTAACATTGTGTAAAAGAATATGTAAATAAATCATTCTGACATTTATCATCAAATACATTAAATACATGATGAAGTTTAACTTCCTGTAGCATAATATAGAAATAGTATTATAAATTTTAAAATGAAACTAACATGTTTCTGCTTTTAAACTCTAGTACACTTGAATTATAAGTATCTATTTGATACAATATAATTTTAATTGTGTCATTGTTAATTATGATGAATGTAAAGTCCTGCCAAAATTAATTTTTCAAGCAGTGAAATTAGTATCATTGAATAAGGTCATTATTTTTTTATTTTACCAACAGGATTTATTTACAACATTTGAAATTACTAGTGCTACTGAGTTAACATTAGGAGCTAATTTACCACTTAATCAGCTTGAGAGATTAAAATGGATGTCAGAAGATAGTAAAACAACTCCAATTAATGGTAAGATATAAGTATTGTCTTAATGTATATTATTGCAGGAAGGCGTGTAATAAATTCTTGAAGCCATCATATACAGGAAATATAAGTAACACAAGTGGGTCATTAGGAAATTAGTTTCTCTTTCCTTACTCAGTAGATGCATTATTTTATTAAAACAAGGAAGACATTATATAAATATATTGATAATTCACTTCTAATGTAAAGAGTACATGTATACTATATATCAGGAATTCAATCCATTTTTATACGCCCACATCTCTCTATGTGGACGTATATTGTCGGCACCCCTGTCCATCCGTAGGTCCATCCGTCCGTTTGCTTGTAAACGCTCTAAAAACTAGCTCTTAAGTTTTATATGGAATCTTGAAAGTAGGTTTCCTGACATTTCGTTTCAGAATCCAGAATAAAATATGAACCATTAAAACTTGGAGATGACCTGACAGTTACACTCAATCCAATGCAGATCAGAACATTCCAAATACAGATCAAGTCAAGACAGTAATATATGGACTGTGGTTGTGAATAAATATATAGCTCATATAAATACTTTGAATCATGTGAATGTCATTTTAAAAATTATTGGAAATATTATTAAAGTATCTTTTAATATGTGAATTCAATTGTTTCTCTATGGAATTTGTTTTTGTTATTTAGTTAATTTGGTCCTGAGAATGAATACATATTACATTTTGTAGTTAATAGAAATTAACTACCTGTATCCTTAGATTCGCCAAACTGCTGCTTAATGTTTCATTGCTTACAATAGACTTGTAGATTATAGATAGATGTATATTTGTTTGTCCATACTACCAGCAATAAATTAATTTCTTAAAAACTAGAGACCTATATTAGATTTCGTTAATGCTTTAATACAATTCCTCTGCCAGCTTACTGTATTACTGTTCCTGCAAGTAATTCCTCTAAGATTATGTGTTTGATTACGTCACTAGTCGCGAGGAGCCTTTTGTGATGAAGCATATTTTGCGATTAGTGACGTCATCAAACTCTTAGTTTTAGTGGAATTGCAGGAATGACACACATCTGAGTGAGCAACGGTCAAGGCTGAATTCAAAACGCCAAGGCTGAATTCAAAACGCCAAGGCTGAATTCAAAACGCGGCAACTGTGTGTTGCAGGTCTCTTATTCAAGAAAGTCAGGAACCTGCGAGTTCCCTAACAGGTCCAAATTATAAATAAAACGGATTAAAATATTCCGGTTCATGTAAAACAACTGGCAATTCCGGATTTTATCAGAAACCTTTAGTTTCGTTTAACAAGTTGTTTTTGTGCAGTTGGGCACGATGCAGCATGTTGGGCAATGCGGCAAAACGAACCTACCGGGCTGGGATCGTCACTACCCAGCCACTGATAGCTATTTGACAGTTGTCGTCTGGCGTAGGCGGTGCTATGGGTGATGTATGGTTTGTTACTTTCAAACTTACCTCGTGTTTTGAAGAACACGTTCATGAATGATTTCATTGAGGCTTGAGTTCGACGTGCGTCTGCAAATAAGTAAAAAACGCGGCATGGAGAAATGAGATTGAACTGTCGGCACCACCTTTCCCTCGTTATTTTTTAAAAATTTGAAAATAGCGACAATGATCCTACTGCATGACATTTGGCTATGTACTGAGCACTTGGAACAGAATTAGCCTACCTATTAGGACTAATTTCCATTTGACTTACCTTTTTCCTCCGTTATGGTACTAGTTTCCTTGACACTTCAAAGAAGTAATTAAACTTAAAAAAGGTGCTTAATAGATAGATTTAAATCTTTTAGGTGTACAAAGATTTACCGCCATAGCTTTATAAAAAAAGTTAGTAGTCTTTAATGAAAAATATAATATCCCTATACGGTTCAGGTTGTGTCTGATATGTTTAATATTCGTAACAGTAAATAATAACATCAATCATTATCTGAAGAGAAGGAGAAAGGACTTTATTATATGTTAATAAACAAACTGCCAAGAAAAAGTACAGAATTAAAATAGATGGAAATCCTCCGTGGTTTACTTATTGGATGTCTGAAATTGAAGCTGGTATCATGTTTTCTGCTAACCTCTTGGTATTTAGTGATTATTATAGATTTAGAGTTTTGATGTATGCTCCTATACGAATACTTGTAGCTCTTTAAGTAAAATTGAACTTCACCACAAAGACAACCTTTTACTTAAATGAAGTATATATATATATAAAGAAATGTCTCCATCGGAATTAAATGCATTAAAATAAGCACGCAATGATACACAAGTCTTGTATGTCGGATTACTAGAAACCAAAATGAAAAGAATCACAATACCTTCTTAGGATAACCCAAAAAATGTAATTTTTTTAATTTGGCCAAAATGAGTCTTTGTTCATCAGAATCTCGAGAATCTGAAATATATAAGAAGAGCACTGGTTGCTACAAGAACATTAATAACCATGGAAATCATTTTACTGCTGAAACTGAGAACTATTTGATACGTTAAGTGAGAAGAAAATCGTATAATTCATTAAATTTTGTTTCGTTTCGTTTCGTTTAAATACAAATGTCATAATCTAAAAACCTGACTATTACCCGATAACAGGATATAAGATTTTTTGGGGGAAAATAATAACGAGGAAAATAAATCGATTGATAAGATACCACGAATGTCGAATGTTAAATTTAAGGAAAGAGGGGTAATCACCGCCTAAGATATCATTTACATTTTTATTTCGGGTATAGGCGATCACTATATCATTTGTAAAACCAATTGTTAGGTTATGCTTGTTTTCCCTCCATTTTGTTCATGCTAGTCTGTAATGGTTATTCTGCAAAGCTATTTCTCAAATTTCAAAATTTGCAAGTTAACAATTTTATTGCTTATCTCCTTATACTTTATGCATTGAGAATGGAGAATTTTCTCAGTCGGCTAGAGAGTTGGAATAACACAAGTTTTGATTCTGTGGTTAAAATGGTGATTGTGTACCTGATTATGGTACTTCTCACTGCATTCTTCTACATTTATATTAGACCGAAACATCTGTCTCAAGGCTTTGATAGTTATTTGAACAGGATGTAGGCTGGCGTATTTACAGAATATGCAGGTGCAGGGGTTTTAATCCAATTTAGATACCTGCTATCTGTTTTAACATGGTCATACTTTTTCTACAGTTGACAGTTAGTTTCAATTTTTCTTGTTAAGGGCCTAGGTGTTTGAAATATTAATAATTTATGCAGAAATCTAAAATGAAATATTGGTTTTGCAATGTCCAATAACAAATTTAAAAAGAAATAGTGTTTCAGGATGTCTTTTAAGCGAACATATATGATTTATTTCCAAAGTTTTTTACAAATTGAAATTTCTCGTTCTCCTTATCTTTAGAATTGTGCGTTTTGAGTAGTGCTGTAAACCTATTGTTATCAGAATCAAGTAGAGAACTCTAGTCTGTTCTCAAATTATTTACATTGTACTTTACTATCGTGTCCTTAATCCTTTGGTGACATTTAGGGGTAGAGATCACATTAAATAACGGAACACAATTTTATGGTATACTACTCCTTATAGTTTTATTACACACGACGTTTCAACGTCACCTGAAGATGACAATGTAGATTGTTGAAACGTCGTGTGTAATAAAACCAAGGAGTAGTATACCATAAAGTTGTGTTCCGTTATTTAATTTATCGTGTCCTTGTTATAACAAAGACACGATAGTAAAGTACAATGTACAGTATAAGAATAGTCTATGATGTAAGTGTTAATGTACCTTGGTATTTATATATAAAAACGTGATTAAAGTTAAATCTAACGGTAAATAGAAAGACACCCCCAATTACTGAAATTAGTAACATTATTACTTCCCTTACTACCACAAATAGATTTTATATATTTATCTGGGAACAGACACAATCTGAATGACGAGTTGACTTTTGATCTACACCCTTTCTTATTTACTTCATAATAGTAGGCTATTCTGGCTATTATAAGCATTGCAACTGAACTGAAAAATATGTTTCCTTTCTCATTGACCTTCCGAATTGAATTGAATAAACCCTCTTGGAATAAAGTATTTTAGTGTAGTGTTCGCGGATGGACATTATTCTTGTGACTTAAATATAAGAATGATGTAATCACGAATTAAGAACTCTAAGCGGATTACGATTGCTTCTTCGCCAAGGACACAGTCGTCAATTTAGGATATTTGAAAAATCGTCAAAAGATGTTTTTGATTTGACTGACCTCCAATATTATACAGAATAAATCTTTAATGAATCTGTGATAATATTGTGAACAATTTATATCAAATGGATCTACCCGACCTAAAATTTCAGCAGTATATATGGTTTGGGCAAATATAGGCTGCGAAGAGGAGAAGTGTATAACACACTGTTGTTCATAAAACTTTTTTCGATCTTCATGTTATTATAGAATGAAGAGTTCGTGGGAAAAAATTATTGAAAAGTACAGAAACATTTATCTAATTAATTTCTTTCTCTGAAATTAACAGGATTAAGACAAAAAGTCATGGTAGGTCTATACAGTGTAACCTTTGTGAAAACTTGAGGATGTCCAATTATCTTGAACATTAACTATAAACCATTATATTCTGACTTTTTTCATAATTTACCAACTCTTTACCTCAATTATTATTGATGTTGATTGTGTTTTGAGTCAAGAAATAAGACGAGCATATTTGTTTACCGTAAACAAACGTTAATTGGACAAATTTCTTGAGAATAATTAGAAAAAAAATGTGTTATGGATTAGTTAAAAATTATCTGAACAGCATGCAGGGTTAATGTTTCGTTCTGGAAAAAGAAAGTGAATTAAATTTCAATTTGTACTGTTTAAATGTAAGTATAGATCTTGATATTTATATGCAACTGATATAATATCATCAGAGATGTTCTATTTCCGTCTTATTTCAGTTATTTCACTGATTTAATAACAGTTTATCTGGAATTAATAATCTTACCGTGTAGAAATATAAATATCTCTGTTGATGTAATTTATCAACATTATTTCAATAAGAATATTGTATCAACAAAAATTTCTCAATGTCTAACTATGTACGACGGTTTTACTGTATTTACAGACCAAAATATCAATACCTTTACCATCGTTACAATATATCCTGATTATATTCTTAATATAATGCATTTGGGCAACCAAAAATACACTGGTTGGTTAACTAACTAAATATGTCCACATTAAACATTAACAAGTAAATAGGTAAAACAGCTATGCAGACCTTTCTTTTCGGCGGTTCGGAAAATTAACTATTTAAGATAATTTTAATGTGGTACCATAAAGAACAAATAAATAAGCCTCTGTTTATCAAATATCGTGGAACGTGCTGACTTTATCTGAGATAAGTAATAAGAAATGTTGGTGGTCAGTGTCAAGTAAATAATAGTCTGTACCTCTAAATACCAGTTAGATGTTGGTAGATGGCATCTTGCTTTTAATAGATGTTTATATTTAAAGTATCTGTCACAGTATTGATTATGTTTAAGCAAAAGGAAATGAACTCATGTACCATCAAAAAGGCCTTTAAAACAACAGATAGGTGAATTGTTCAGTTTTAAAAAGCTCATCGTAGTCCCAAAACAACTTTAAAACGAGCAACTATTTGACATATTGCAGCAATAGATAAAAAGCCATTGGTATCTGGATTGTCATGCGTATCTATTATCTACTAATAAAGACAGTTATTTGATCACATAATTTGTTAGCCTTCATTCCAACTTGGACTAAATCAAGAGCAATAACACAAAAAGCGGTTCATCGAAATATTGTGAAAATAAAGTTTGTTCGAGATTAAACAGTAGCACTGTACATGCTTCCAATCCTTCAGTTCATTAGAAAATG